TTCACAAATACATTCTGGGGACACCCGAGACCAATATTACATCTTGTAAAAAGGGGCATAATAGGTGCCCTTTAATGTTATATAAATCCTTTTCTGATTATAGAGCTCAAATGAATTTTCAGACTATATTTTGCCTAGTTTTGGCTAGCTTTTGACATAGGAAAGATTACCTCAGTCACAATATCCCTATACATAGGCCTATACGCTCGTGTAAACTTTTTAAATGTGATATTAGCCTACTACATATATTTCACTCAGTTTTGAGATTAGTTTATGACACTGATTATCATGCTAAAATACTACCTTATGCATCATTTATTTTGTTTGCGAATAACTGCTTAGGTTATATAATGATTTAGTAAAATATATATCAGCCTCCGGTAAAATATGTGATACTGTCTAAATACAATATATTATTTATGTATAAATGTTCAGTTAGGCTAACTGAAATAAAACCATGTCTATATTGTGAAGGGTAGTCAACTTTAGCATGGGTGTGTTCACTTATTCTAAGCACTGTGTGTGTGTGTGTGTGTGTGTGTGTGTATATATATATAATTAAATCACAATTTTAACCAGAAAAATCTACAATGCATGCCCAAAGTCGTGCAGCCATATAGTTTCTCTTGATATCAGCATGTTCAAAGGTGTTAATTTTTTTTATTTTACAGGGACGAGATGCCACTGATGAGTCCTGCTGACTTCAACATTCAACAGTCTCTGTACATGAACATGGTAAAATGAAAAATCAAACACCTTGGAAATGACAGGTATGTAGCTACTATGTTTCAGGAATGGCACAAAGTTGTGTGACTGTTCAAGCCTCTGTCTTTAGATCAGTGTGTTTACTAATGTGCTTTTTTGTCCTTTGTTGTGTATCTTTGGATTATGTTGTGTTGTAAATAAATCCAAACAATCTAAAAGCCATTCTTTTTTAAATCTCCTCATTCTTTGTGCAAGGCTCCTCATAATGATATGGCCTTATAGCACACCTAATAGGGCCATTATGGGAGGGTGTTTGTCTTTCTCAGGTGTGAAATGCATACATATTAATGAGAGATTATGCCCCTTCTCATAAAGCTTTCTGACACAAAACACGTCATTAAAAATGTAAAATACTTTATTGACTTATCTGAATTAGTAGTCAGGATGATTCTCACATAGTTTTGGAGCAAATATTCTAGGCTATGTGATACAATTTTCAAAAGTCTTGTGAAAAAAATAATCAATATGTGTTTTGTTGCCTTATTTCAGAAACTTTAATTTTTAGTTTTTTCAATAACCATGCATAAACAATATTCTCTCAAAAATACAAATATGTACATACATGTTGCTCACATATTATGGTAGCCCTGTTTGTGCTAAATAGAGTGTAATTAAACCTGTGCCATTAATATGTTTATAAGCAACTGAAAAAAGCACAAATGTCAGGGCATGTCAAAACATCTCAAGGACCCCAAAAACACCTTAGACCCCAGAGGGTTAAATGCAGCCACATATCAACCAGACAAGTTAAAATGCTCTGGATAAAAGGTGAATTAATACAGACATCACAATCAGATGAGTATTTAACATTTCATTCCTCAAAATTAAGTGCAGCCAAAAATCAAAAAGACAAAAAGCTCGGTCTGGATGAAAGGCTGAATAAAGCATTTTCATACATACATCTAACTTCCAAAGCCAGACAAATATTTAATTGAATTCCTCAAAATTAAATGCAGCCCAGAAACAAGCAGACACGAATACGTGGTCTGAATGACTGGCTGAACATTCATGTTATAATCTCAAACACAAAAAAACCCATAAATAGTCTGCAAACACAGATAATTAGTTTGCACACAATCATAGGAAAAAAAAGAGAAAGGGAAATTCCAGTCTGTTCAGTCACCTATGCATGTTTTGCTGACCCATAGTCTACACGTTGCCTCGGCAAACGTGAGATCCAAGCCACTAGATTCTTATTACAGACCCATATTCTACGCGCTGCCTCAGCAAACGCGAGATCCGAGCCACTAGATTCTTATTGCAGACCCATAATCTATGCGCTGCCTCTGTCACGGCTTTCCCTGGTCCTGTCCCGCACTACATTTCCCAGCATTCCCCCTGGATCCCCGCACCTGCACTCACTTCCCTCATCACCGCAGCTGTTCCCTTTCACCTCATGATCTCGCTATGCTGATCCTTTATAACCTCCTCACTCCCATTGTCTCACTGCCGGGTATTATACGTTACTTCATGTTTCTGTTTCCACGTGCTACTTCTGTGTTCTGAAACACTGGCTCCAGAGGTTATCGGCGAGTGGCTTTGTGTTCCCTCACTCGGGATGACTCCAGTGTCTACGTGAGAGATCGTCATTTCAAAAGGGATATTCCCGTGTTGGCTATCCGAGTGTTAGTGTGCCTCGGAGTGTTTCTACGTCTCAACGCTCGAGGTGATTCCTATGTCTTACGTGATTGTTTATTCAAGAGTCTTCGATGAACGTGTGCACTGGATCGACTGCTCATCTCTAGTGACTGACAGTCTTCTATGAACGTGAATACTGGATCGACTGCTCATCTCCAGTGACTGACGTGAGTGTTAATTCAAGGACTGTCTGTATGAGAATTCCCCGTACATCTGTGAGTGATATCCCGTGGACTGTCAGTTAGAACATCCCATGCTCATCTGAGTGATATCATAAGGACTGTCTATGAGAGCATTTAGTAATTCGTGCTTGAGTTCAAGTTTAATGTGTCTACAAGTATCTACTGAGTTTTCTACATTTATTCTTCTGCCCTGGATTTGCTCTGTGTATAAATAAAGTCTGTTGATTAGTATTCTGGTCCCCGTGGTTATTGTGACAGCCTCGGCAAACGCGAAATCCAAGCCACTCTACGCGCTGCCTCGGCAAGCGCAAGATCCGAGACAGAGTCACAGAATCTTTATTGCAGACCCGTAATCTACCCACTGCCTCAGGGCACGCAAGACCCGAGACAGAGTCACAGAATCTTTATTGCAGACCCGTAATCTACGCGCAGCCTCGGCAAACGCGAGATCCGAGCCAAAGAATCTTTATTGACTTTCTCCTCTCGAGAAGAAAGCCAACAGGAGCGGAGATAAAACTAACTAAAAGCGGAGCTAGTGCATATTTTACATGTCGAGAATTTATGAAAGAACACTGTCAGCCCCCTTTTACTAGAGCTGACGTGCATGCTCCACTCCCAAACAAACAACACATAAATCGCATGTATCCCCACTCATAATGTGGCAAGGGCAGGGACAAACACGCAATCAAAAATGCTGTTTGCTCGCCATTATACTCCTGTGTAAATATATAATATGCTTGTGGACAAACAACAATAAATAGACAGAGACAATTGTACACAGAGCGCTTGCTGAAGGCACAGAAGCTGAGAATGTTTGGTCTGGGTGCGCTTTATAGCTTCCTGCCATGAAGTCACCCACCTATATGCCATTGGACTGATTTCACAAGTGCTTCAAAATGCAATCACGCAGAGCATCAATCTCGACACAGCATGAGTTCCCTTGAAGGGGAACTATAAATATAAATATAAAATGTTATTATTGTCGTGAGGGCAGCGTGGTTTTGCGAAGTCTGTAGCGGGAGAGAAAGGAGGGAGCCGAACGGTGAGTAAGTAGGTCAAGTGAACACCTGTGTCTGATTGGAGTAATTGGCGTGGAGAGACCGGCGGCGTGGCTGATAAGGTGGAGTGGCCGAAGGTCGAAGCCGGCCCCCAGGAAGGGGTCCTAGGCGCTGGAACAGGCTTCGCTGGGGTCCCCGTTCTCCTCCTCAGTGCCGGCCAGGGCACAACCCCCCCACGAGACCAAGGAGGGGGGACAGGTTTAGAGAGGGGGAAGAGAGAGAGAGAGCAGCCGATGGCAGGGGTTCGCCGACCCCGGGGCACGCCACCATCTGGTCTTCCGCCAGCTGGATGGCCTGACTCAGCGACGTCGGGCGGTGGCACTGGGCCCATTGCGCGATTTTCAGTAACAGCTTTCGGCCAGACTCTTCGAGGCCCAGGGTTCGGAACCTCTGATGGTGTTGCTCTGGGGACCGGCCGACCCGCTGAAGGATGTCTTCATAGACCAGGAGATTCTGGACTGGCAGCTGGTGTGCGGCCACCTGCGCTTCTCCGGACAGCAGGGGAATGAGCTGCATTGGCAAACAGATCCAGGAAGACCTCCGGATCGTCCTGGAGGCCCATCTTGTTGAGAGGTAGGGGCGAGGCCGAGACCGTGGCTGGAGAGGGGACGGCCCGAATCTCCCGGTCTATCCAGCTCCGGAACAGCTCGCGGTCTTCTTGATGGGCCCCGGAGGAGCGTCTCAAAGCGTTGACCTTGCTCCTCTTTAACGGGCAGCAGGGTTCGGTGTTGTTCCCGGTGAAGACCGGCGAGCGATGTAATGATGTTCGCAAATGGCGTGCCTGGCGGAGACAGCATGGCGGCGGCGATCTTCTTCCTTCCCAGGTTTCGGCACCAGTGTGGTAGGGTTCAATGTGGGTGGAAGGAAGAAGACAGGGTCGGCGTGGCTGGGACTCGTACTTTTTATTAACTCAAAATATAAAAGAAAACAAAGGCTGCGCCACATGCGCATTCACCGTAGCCTCGGCTACAGCAACGTTCATAGAACACTCTTCCCACTGACTCAGCTCACAATTCACTTAGATTGAACACTCTTCCCGCTGTACCAGCTCTCAGTTCACACGTTGTGTACGAGTCCCGAGTCTCCTACTTTCTCACCGCGCGGCTCCCTCCTTTCTCTCCCGCTACAGACTTCGCAAAACCACGCCCCCCTCGCCACAATTATATTCTTAATTACAAATAAACAAATTAATTACACTAATGCAGATTAGTGTTCACTACATTTATATTTCAAATTTATTTTTGTTTGATGAATCAATTTATTGTTATTCTTTCAATAGTTCAAACAAACGTTTGTAGTCATTTGCAGTTTTTAGTTCAAGGTATTACAACTTGTGTATGTGTTAGTTTAAGCTCACCTGTGTATCTATCCCCAGCAAAATAATCATGATGAAGAAAAAAACAGCCCACAACTGAGGGAGAGGCATCATGGCTACTGCCTGTGGATAAGCTATGAACGCTAGTCCTGGACCTGACATAGAAAGAGAGATATTATTTTAAGCATTCCATGTTCTTGGTAATTACTTTAACATAGTCTTGGTTCGCAACATTTCAATTGTCTTATAATACCTCCTGTGTTTTCATGAAATACTGCATTACCTGATTCTGCCACGTCTCCTATGGGGACGCCCTGCTCTTGGGCCATGAATCCCAAAACAGAGAACACTGCAAAGCCAGCCACCAAACTGGTGCTGCTGTTCAGAAGTGAAAGCCACAAGCAGTCCCTGATAAATGTAGATAACAACACATATTGTCTACCATTTGCTGACTGAGCATCATAACATCATAACATTTCAAAAACATCTCGCTCATAGTGTACAACATAACAAATAGTTAATTCTTCAATTGTTAAATTATTCATTTGCTTATTCTTTGGTACTGTCATTTTATTGAAAGCCTTAATACTAACCTGTAGCAGTTGTTGTTATATTTATTGTAGCTGCCAAAAACAGTGAGAGTGCCAACAGACACACTGTAGGAAAATAAGATCTGAGCTCCGGCTTCCAGCCAAACCTACACACACAGAGAACCTCAATTTCAATATAATAATTTTATTTTAAAAATAGATTAGATAGTTACAGAAATAACATAGTGGCCCTCGTTTATTACAAGTGCGTACACCAAATTTCCAGCGTACACCTGGCGTACACCCAAAACCACGGTGACTTTGAGATTTATCAATATGGACGATGGCGTACGGCACGCTCAAATCCTACGGCAGCTCAGGAGGTGGTGTACGCACGTTTTGAGTTAGAGCGGAAATGCGAAGAAAAACAATTCCTAACACCACAAAATGCACTGACAAACTAAAAGATATGATATATTACGACCCACTGTAAAACAAAAAACAACAACATAGTAATTATTAACTTCAGTGTTTATTTTTGTGCAACATGGACTTCAATGTTTAATTTGTGTGACTTTACCAAAGCATTTGATTTGTAAGCATATGTATTCCTTCAGTTGCGAGCCTGTGCGCTTTACCCTGACGTTTCAGGGTTTGGCCCGGCAGGTGCGCACGGACTGGGTTCGGTAACGAAAGGCTTTCAATGACCAAAAAATTATTCAGACTGACAAAATAATAAAAAATACATTCATCTTCTTTTAAATAATAATAATACAAATAATAATAATGACATTCTTCTTCTAAAAAACAATAAGAATACAAATCATACGAATAATAATAAGAATATTACAAATTGTCATGCAATTATTAATGTGAATGAATGGTACTCCACATCACATCATCATCATCACTATTGTACACTCCAATACATGTAACGTGATTCGAAATTGAATGCTAATTCAAAAGACGTGCTGTAAAATATTGCATTGTGATAGGTCATTTCGGCTCCACGTCAGAGAAGTTTCTCTTCTTTGCCGTCTTCCGTGTGTCCATGGCGTAAAATGAGGGCGTGGGGGAAGCGGAGACTTGAATATATAGGGGCGTGTTATTCTAATGACGATCGTTTTCAGCCGCGGGATTTATCAAGGGCAGGTATTGCGTACACCTGGATTTCAAAGGTACGCACAGCTTCATAAATCAGGCGGTGAGAGGAGTGTAAGCATAAACTTACGCCAACATATACGCCCGTTTCTACGCAAGAATGATAAATGAGGGCCAATATGTTTATGTGTGTTTTTTGGTGATGTTAAATTAGGTGTCTTTAACTTCCATAAACTTCCATAAAACAATTGTTAGGTACAATGTACTTATGAACTTATTGTGTTCATGTTGTATTGTAAACTATGTAACACTTTATTGGACAGTCCTGTTTCGCATGCAAATACTATGTACTTATTATAGTAATTACAGTAACTGGATTATAACTATGTACTAACCCTTCACCTACCCCTAAACCTAACCTTAACCCATGTAGTTACCATATATTACCAGTACTTTCTTGGGCAAGTAGCCTACACTGTAAGTACACATACTGTAAAATAAAGTGTAACCTAAAACCCTTTTCTGCTATTGAGGTGGGATACTGGTGAGGTTTGTTCCCTTGGTAATGTCTGGACTCTTATGTTGTTATGTTCCTGTTTCCTGCTCCTGGTGCCATCTTTGTAGTTTTTGTAGTCCCCATTGATTAGTCCTGATTGTTTCCAGGTGTGTCTAGTAAGCTTGTTACCCCTTGTGTATATATAGCTCTTGCGTTTCCCTTGTTCTTGGTCAATTGTTCGATGTATGTAGATGGTCTCATGTCCCTTTTCCCTGTGTTCCTTGTTTTCCGGTTCTTGTTTTGCTATTGTGTTTAATAAACAACCCTTGCATTTAGATCCATATCTCTGCCTGCTATCTCATCTGCTCCTCCGAGTTACAGAATGACCAGCCCGTTCTCATCCCAAAGCGTAATATATTGACTCTTTTGACAAAGCGTCTATATCCAACGCACATGGCACTCTTTAGCGTCATATGAGACGCAGATATATGGCGCCTCCAAGTGGTCTAACCCTAACACTACCCCAGACCTAAACCTACCCAAAACCGAAGCGTGTTATATTGACGCTAAAGGGTGCCATGTGCGTTGGATATAGACGCTTTGTCAAAGGAGTCAATATATTACGCTTTGGGATGAGAATGCGTTGGAATGACTGACCAAAAAATGGATCTAGCAGGGGTTCGTCTCATCCTCCTTTGCAGGGCGAGTGCTCTTGAAGTTTTTGAACATGGCTTACCATACCCACTTTCTGGAAAGTTCACTCATTTAATTTTATCGTTCTGGTCTGAATGAACCTATCAGATCACAACTTTCCTGTGTTGGTCCTCAAGGGACATTTTGTGAATTTGTGGAGCGTGCTCTTCTGCTTAGCAGATCCCCCTTCACTGTGGAAGAGGTGGAGGAGGATCCCACTGTGAACACTCAAGGTTCCCCTAAACATTTTGCGTTCCATGCTCCGATGGCCATGGAGCTTGGCATGGGATGAGTCTCAGCGCTCTCAAGACTGGTGGTCCCAGAGCTCTCTCGCCCAGTGGTCCTAGCACTATCTAGCCCGGTGGTCCCAAGTCTGGTGGCCATTGGTTTCAGCATTGTCAAGCCCAGGGGTCTTAGCGCTCCCAAACCTGGTGGTCCCAGAGGTCTTCCCCTTGTCCTCGGCTTTACCAGTGATGACAGTCACAATTTTGTGTGTATGGACTACACACACTTCCACGGACTGACGGCTCGTTACAGCCACGGAAGCTGTTACTGAACTGTGCCAAGTGTCTGCTCTGTTAAGGCCAAGGAGGTCTACAACCCCAAATCAGAAACAGTTGGGACATTTTGTAAAATTCAATAAAATCAAGAATCTGTTATTTGTTCATTCTTTTTAACCTTTTTTTTTTAACTGACAAAAGTACAAAGAAAAGTTTTCCAATGTTTTCACTGACCAACATACGTAGTTGTATTTTGTAAATATGAACAAATTTTGATTTTGATGGCTGCAACACACCCCAAAAAAGTTGGGACAGAGACATGTTTACCACTTTGTCACATCACCTTTCCTTTTAATTACACTCTTTAATCATTTGGGAGTTGAGGATACTAATTGTTGGAGTTTTGCTAGTGGAATATTTGCCCAATCTTGTCTGATACAAGACAGCCGCTCAACAGTCTGTGGTCATCATTGCCTGATTCTCCTTGGGGTCATACATTTTCCATAAGAGACATATCTGGACTGCAGTAAACAGGCAGGCACATCCCTTCTATGCTGCAGAGTGTCTAGAAACCACTCAGTTGTAGCACATGCAGAATGAGGCCTGGCATTGTCTTGCTTCCCAGGAAAGATGTCATCTTGATAGCAGTTTATGTCTCTGTACAATCCAAATATATGCCTCCATGTCAATGGTACCTTCACAATAATGCAAGTTACCCATACCGGTTGCAATGATGCACCTCAATACCAGGACATATGTTTACTTTTGCACCTGTCGCTGGTGAAAGTCTGGTTAGTCCCTTTCGTCTTTGGGACTGAGAACTCGATTCCATTTTCTCCCATAACAAGCTGAAACATGGATTCATCTGACCACAGCAAACATTTCCACTTTCTTCTAGACCATCTGAGATGAGCTCAGGCCCAGAGAACTCGCCGGCATCTCCACATAGAACTGATGTAAAGCTTTCTCCTTGCATAACAGAGATTCAAGTGGCATTTCTTGATGCAGCATCAGACTGTGTTCAGTGAAAATGGTTTTCCAAATTACTCCTGAGCACATGTGGCTGTATTTGACAGAGTAGCATGATGGTATCTTGTGCAATGCCATCTGAGGACTCAAAGGTCACACACATTCAACAGAGGTCTACTGCCTTACCCAACACAGACTGAGATTTCTCTGGATTCCCTGAATCTTGTGACAATATTATGTATGGAAGATGATGAAAGGCATAAATGCTTTGCAATCTTGCATTGAGAAATGTGATTTTTTAATTGTTTGACAATTCTCTCAAGATATTTGGGACAAAGTGATGAGCCATGACCCATCTTTGCTTAAAAAGACTGAGAAGCAATTTTACACCCAAACATGATACCCTCAACTATTACCAATTCACCTGCTAATTGTGGACTGTTTCAAAATAGTTGGATAATCTAATTTGGATAATCTTTTCACTTTTATTTGGTCTCTGTCCCAACTTTTTTGGGGTGTGTTGCAGCCACTGATGGGCAGTAACGCGTTAGAAGTAACGCGTTACTGTAATCCAATTACTTTTTTCAAGTAACGAGTAAAGTAAGGGATTACAATTGCAAAAACAGTAATTAGAATACTGTTACTTCCCTGTAAGCAGGCTGCGTTACTGCGTTAGTTAACCGTCATTTTGTTTCGTGAGACTGTCTTGTGCCATGAGTCGTGGGTGAGTGACAATAACGTATGAGCGCCGCGACGTCAGTGGTAAACACCGAAATGTGTAGTGTTGAACAAGAGACAACATGGAGCGCGGGAGAGAGACATGCATTTGATTGGTCTCACACGCCACACCCCCGATTTCTCACGCTGAAGTGTCAACCCGGTCGGTCAAATCCCTGAAAGATGAGTTTATCTATAGATCTACCTGTTGAGCCACTCGTGATCAACTAGTTATACCGCAAATTAGTTAAAATCTCCCGGAATCTAGAGCGAGCGTGCATGCGAGACAGAGACCGCGTAGCGCGTGCGCACGGCAGAGAGGGAGAGCGAGCGAGAGACCTCCTGATCTAGAAACAGGACCCCCCGTTGGAGAATGTCACAATTCTACCTCAAATCTGAGCAAGCACCTAGCAAGCCGGCACAGGAATGTGAAACTTACTGAAAAAAACCCTGAACCCCCAACTGACATGACATGGCTGTTTTGGTAAACTCATTTTTACTCCTCTCTGCACTTTACTGTTAAAAGACGTAAGTGTTAATAATTTGGAATACAGTCAGGAGAGACTTTCATTTTAATTATTTTATTGCTGTATTTTATTTACATCTATTTGAATGAAGGATTTTACAAAAAATATATTTATTTTATATGCTGGAATATGCAGAAATATAAGTTAACAGAAGAAGGACTTTC